GTTGCTGAATTTTTTATTATATTCTTGATATATATGAATTTTTGATACAGTAGTTAGTTCTTCTGGATACCAGTCGGTTGCTTTTGAATGCAAAATATTTTGCTAAGTTGAGGAGTTTTGCTTCATCCTTCAATCATTAGGAAAAAAATCTATACATTTTTCACACATTTAATTTAGTTATTTTTCAGTAGTGCACAGCATATTTATTTGCGTTGAAAAAACATGTTAATTTTTCCTAGCACAAAGCAGAAATTTGCAAGCGTTTGAACACATCACTGCAAAAGACAGCATCAGATCCCGTCAAGATTCTTGACATTTGCTGCTAATATCTACAACCTCCCCCCTACAACCACTGCAGCAGTGAGGATCTGACAACAAAGAGGCTGATGGAGGCGCTGAAGGAGTCAGTCCTCACTTAACACTCTTACACTTAACAGGAGAAACTGACACTTTCTCCCAAGCGTCTCTGTAGTTGGAGCGATACGGTTTCTTACTCCATGGAAGCAAAAAAAAAAAAAAAAAAATCTGACATCCCCTCCCATGTGCCTGCGCTTTTAAGAAGTGGAGGATCTTTCTCTGTTTCCCCCAGCTTCTCTTCCTTCTCTACTTCCTCCTCATGTCATAGTGCACTCCTGTCGTTCCTCCTGATTTACCAGACATCCTCTTTCCCCTGCTGTCACATTTGGTACAGATGGTTAGGCTCTATGGAGTGGCCTGTCAGTCTCCATTTGGCCGCCTCTGTGTGACAGCAGGCCCGATGGCTCGTGAAGGGCCCCCGACTTTCCCAGCACACGGACACTGACATTTCTCAAAGGGGCTCGCATGCGCGCCTCCCACCCAGCCAGAGGAGAGAAATGAAGAACCTGGAGTTGACCCAAAGCCCGCCACAGGCTAAGAGAGGCAGGGAAGGAGGGAGGGAGAAGAGAGGCCGGGGTTGGATTCAGAAGAAGAGGACAAATAGAGAGGACAGGTGAAGTGGATGAGAACACAGGGGCGGTTAAACAGGAGACACATGTCAGTCATTGTGGAAGTGATCTTACAAGCTGAACTAATCACTGCTTTTCTGAGGGAGGTAGTTACAGTAGAGATGCCAACCCCCCACACCACCTCCAACCCCTGACATCCACTGCCTGAATGTTGTTGCAGGTGAAGTGAGGTGAAGCGGAAAAAACAAAAAAGAAGAACTTTTTTTTTTTTTTACCTCCACTGGCTGCCTGGAACAGTCATGAAAATGGATGGATGGTGATGGTGGAAGTACACCTGCCCATATATAAACTCATTATGTCACACATGTACTTATCAATATGTAAATCATTTCACTGTTTTTATGAGACCTTTATTATATAATTTAATTGTTTTCAGTCTTATTTACTCTGTCAGTCTTGTCATTCCTGCATCCAGCTGCTGTAACATGTAAATACCCCTGACGAGGAATCAATAAAGTTTCTTTTTAATCTTATCTTATCATAAGGTAGAGGGTAGAGGACAATAGACTGTGTTCAAAGACAATTTTTAAAGCAGCAGAAGAGAAAATTGGAGTCATTCTTGTAGCTTTTTCCCCCCCTTTTTTAAAAAATAAAATAAAAAATGAAGCCCTATATTATTAATTACTGGACAGGAGGATAAAAGATCAACCTGGAAAGAAAGAAAACACAGTTTTTAAAAGTTTAACATGAAGATTTATCTTGCAATTCACACAATTACCTGCAAACATTCAGCTTCTTCCTCATAATTCTCATCATTTTGTGTGTAAACTGAACAATTCAGTGATTTGTTTTTTTCCTTTAAAATCCTAACTTCTGCCCTTTGGTTTAAAAAAAAAGAAAAAAAAAGAAAGCAGACAAGGAGCTTGGAAATGACCTCATAACGGAGCATTAAACCCAGACAAACATCACCTCCATCCTCCCTCATGGAACAAGCAGCCACCACTAACCCAACCTTTTGCCAATATTGTGTAAATTGTTATATTGCATCCTGGCTGTGAGGTAGAGACCACGTTTGACAATCCAGAGGGGGGCTGTAGGGAGAGAGAGGAGGTGAGCAGAGGGAGGTGGTGGAGGAGGAGGGGGGAGCTGCTGTATTGTAGCGCCTCAGGGCAATGCTCCCAGTCAATATATATCTCCACACTCGCTCCTGCGCTCCCATTTGAGCGGGACGCGCTGCCCTGCCGCTGCAAAGGAGTGACAGACCGCCACACCGGGACGCTCTCTAGGTACGGATGAATTCATTTCCTCTCTACTTTTTGTAAGTGGCTCGTGGCATGCACAAAGATTAATTGGTGAAAATGAAGTGCTGCTTTAAAAAAGGAGTTAAGATGAGGGCCTTTACGTGGAGCTTTTGGATGCTGTTTTATTTTAAAGCTGCATGTTTTTGAGCTTTCATGCAATTAATTTATTTATGTGGCTAAATTAGATTTTATATTTGACACATTTTTCTTGTATTATATAGTTTTGTTTTGTTTTTTAGATTGAAGTATTATTTTATTATTGTAACTATATAGTAATTACATAAATGTAGTGGTATAATTTGTGTTATTAGAGCAAATTACATTTACGTCAACAAAGCTCAGCCACAGTTTGTTTAAATATATCAGCATCATTTGTTGTTTTGCTAAAAAATTTAAATGACAGTAAATAACTTTTCAAAAATACAATAAATTAATTGCTTTCGTCCAATCTGTTATTTTAAAATAGACTAATTAGTTTGGAAGGGTATTTTATTTCTGCATTTTTATAATAAAAAGAACCATGACATGATAAATAATTAAGTCCTTATTCTTAAATGCTTCTTTCTCTTCTTTTTTTTCAGGACTTTTCTCTTCTCAGAGGGAGACAAACAGCAAACCAGCCTGAATATCATCTTAGGTAAAGTGTCTCCTTTAAAATATGTATTTAGAAAATATCAAAACAATTTCACTTGCCGGTCCTCAGTGCATTCACTTACTGTACAAAAAAGCCAGTCCTACAGGCGGTCAGCAGTGTGGTTGCTGTAGCTTGTCAAAGCTTTTAGTGTGGTGAACCTCCTTAATTGCAACAATAGATGTTCAAGCGGTTAGGCGTGTTTGATCATCATCCCTAAAAGCTTAAAACAAGACCGCAGGGTTTGGATACGGGACAGTGGGGGGCCAAAGTGCACAGTCAGTGGAGAGGGGAGCGGATAGCAGTGGCCAGAAGAGGAAAGAAATCTACTGTAAAAATGATTTTTATTGATTGGCTCGTAGCAGCAGCTGTTAGACTCCATTATGAGCTCAAAGCTCAGGTCAGAGCCTCGGGGCGGACAAGTGAGCCAATCAATGGTCAGCCACTAACGGGCCAGTTCTGAGGGTCCAGTTGGGAGAGCAGTCGGCAACAGCCTGCCATCCTGCGTTAGACTCACTCCGTCTTTCATCTTCACCCTTCGTGCTGTGCGCTCATAGATGAGGTTGTCACTCAACATAACTGGTCATCCATCACCTGTGTTTGCTTCACTGGCTTTTATTTCTAAACTTAGTTATATGTGCAGGACAGAACAAAACAAAAAAAACAGAGTTGGTGAAGTTTATTTTTACCTCTGCTTGGACTTCAAACTTCACTCAGGCTTTCATCTTTGAATGACCCGAGGAAAAAGGCAAAATAAAAGCCCCCACAGCAGAGTGTTTTAAATTGAGGAGCGCACTCCTCCTCACATCTTCTTTCACTGCAGGCTTCAGCCACCGGCTTGGCTCACAGTCTAAGAAGATCACAAAGCTTCTGGAATTTAACAGATGAATACAAAAAACAATATGAATGTATTTTAGGGGATTAGAACGCAGGGATTTTAATTAAACTGAGGTCATGCAATTGCTAAAAAGATAAATGAGAGTTGAAAGTAAAAGAGGGATAAATGAGAGAGAAAATGTTTTCAGTGAATCCAAAAGACAAACTTTAGATTTTAATAAAGTGTGTGTGAGCAGTAAGTCACATATTAAAAATTAACTTTAAAATAAGAATTAGAATAAATCTATATAATGGACCAAAATGCAGAAAATAAGCTGTAAAGGTGCTAAATATTTAAATGTTTTGGTCTCTTTTGTGAGATGGGTCAAATTATAAATAAATCTGCTTTTAGTCACAATTCCTTTTATTTACAAAATCCCATATTCAACACTTAAAAACCTGTAAAAACAAAACAAATGCTACCTGCTGTGATCCGTGCTGCTTTGGCTGATCAAGTATGACCTGACTCTAAATGCACAGATATGTACAGGAGAGCAGTTGAACTTATGCGCCTTGTCCTGACCCAGATCCCAGTCCTGGCACTAATGACGCCCTTTAGGCATGACGCCAGGCTCTCATTAAGAGTCCGGCCTCAAACCCCCAACTTCTCTCCCTTCCCTATCAGCCCTGTGCCGTCCTCAGCATCGCCGCGCTGTGGCCTGTAGCCGGCCTCCGAGGGTCCGGGGCCCCTAAACTCAAGCGGGCCTGTGAGTGTTGCGAGGTCCCGCTGCACAGGTGCAGAGTCCCCTGTGACGGCCCTGTTTGCCCCCCAGCCCTGGGCCCTGCCAGCGCCTGGTGCTGCACTGGAACTAATGAGTAGTGGCAGGTACAGTGAGAACAGAGCAGTGTGGGCCTCCCTGCAGTTAGGTTAGTGGCAACCATCAGCTTAGGCAGACAACAAATGTGCTCTCATAATACACATATGTGCATAATGATATATACCACCCTTCAGTGCACACGCAGCTTAATCTCTCGTATTAAGGTTTTGTATGAAATTGCATCACTCTTTCGGAGACATAAAGATAAAATTAGAAAAAATATGTGGTAAAAGCAAAACGTAAAAAATCCTTCAGTCTGTTAATTTAACAAACTATTGTCTTGTTTATTTCACAGGTTCCAATTTTACCAAGAAGATGCTACAAAACTGAAGAAAAACCTGCAACAAATGAAATGTACCCTCGTCCAAAAGACAAAAAACTATAAAAGTCTAGCTTGAGCCATCGCAATCTGAATCCAGCCGTCCCTTTTAAATATTAAGACTCAATCATGTCAAAGGATGACGCCTGCAAAGTCACATCCGCCAGCAAGCACAAGGAGCGCAAGCCGAAAAAGCCTCACTACATCCCGCGGCCGTGGGGCAAACCCTACAACTACAAGTGCTTCCAGTGCCCCTTCACCTGCATGGAGAAGTCCCATCTGTACAACCACATGAAGTACAGCCTGTGCAAGAACTCCTTGTCTCTACTCATAGAGTCAGACTGGCCGTACAAAAAGGGCAACATCCTGCACCCAGACCAGCTCCGACCCTTTCAGCAGGCGCACGGCCTGCATGGTAACGGGAAAGATGAGCTAGAGCAGGCGATGCGCACTGAGGAGAGACAACAGGGGCAGCGGAGGTTGGTGGAGGAGGAAGGTGAGGGCAGGGAAAGCCAGGGATTAGAAGATGAAGAAGAGGGAGGACGAGGAGAGGGAGTAGAGATCACTGGGCTGACTAAAGAAAACTCCAGCAGCAACAGCAGAGCAGATGCTGCAGAGTGTGCTACCAAGAAACCCAAACAGCCAGAGTCAGAGCTTCTGATGGCAGACATGCTCTCCCTGGAAGATCAGCTTCTACGAGCACGCTCTGTGGAGGTGGAGGCCCAGCTGAGACACTATAAGCTGTCCAAGACATGTCTAACAGCTCCTGGGCTTCTGTCAGAACAGTGGCGACTGCTGGCGTCCAGCCACACTAAGGCCAAAGCAGAAGGTGCTCAGCCTCGAGTGAGCAGCTCAATCCCCTGTTACCCTCCGCCGCCAAACCTGGTGGACTACCAGGATCCCACTGGACTCAATCTGTCAGTGCTCGGTGTAGGTTACCCCATCAGCCCCAGCCTCTTCTCCTACATGAACTCAGCTATTCCTGCCGCCGCCGCCTCCGGTGTCAACGCCCAGACTCACGCACAGCTCGCCCAGCTTCCCTTCCTGGCATCGGCGGCTCAGCTGATCCACCCGGCCTCCAGCACGCATACAGACAGAGCTCTCATTCCCCCTCGCCTCTACTATCCCTTCCTGTGTGAGCACGCGTTCGGACCGGCTTCTAGTCAGAGTGATGCCAGCAAATCTCTCAAGACGTCCACAAACAGTCTAGAAACAAATTCCTTGTCCGGCTTCCAACCTAAAGTCAGTCTGTGGAAAGTGCCTGCTTTGCGGCCAGGAACTGCTGTCTCCCCCGCCGGCTGGGTGTCACCTCAAAGAGACTCCCCCGACCAGGGCTACAGGTTGGGGGATAAACTGCAGGCTGCAGCAAAGGAGGGAAAAACAAGCTGGAGTCTCAAGAGAACAGGAGCTGCTCTTAGAAACCAAGATGCTCCTGTGGAGAAGAAGCCGGCCATGGGCTTCACATTGGACCTTCTGAAGAATATTCAAACTGCATCGAGTCTCAATATGGCGGCAGACAAGCTTCTTCTCCAGAACAGGTAAAAAAAATGTTACTTTTATTTTTATGATACTTATTCTAAGCAGTGGGAGCATTTTCCTCACTTTTGTTATGCCATCTATACAGTAAATTTTCCAAGCTAGATCACAACTCTTAGATGCATTTCATGAGTAAAGTCTTAAATGCTGCAGGTTTGCTAACTACAACATCCTCCTATTCTTAGTTTACAGGATGCTCAGCTTCAGACTCGGCCCACTGAGCTGTGGTACAACGATCCTCTCACCAGCCCCAACAGTGAAACATCCTCTCTATCAACCTGCGGTGGACCCAACAGCCAAGACTCGACAGCTGCCAGGACAGTCGGGGACGGGGCTTCCGAGTCAGTCGCTGCTCTCCTCAGCGACCTCTCCAAGGCGCTGCAGGAGTACCAGGAGGCCGAGCGCAAGATCTCCCACCTAGAAAAGGAAGACCTTCCCGCCCAGCGACACCTCTGGGAACACCTGAACAAGATCCGCAGCGAGCTCTCTCACATTCACCAGGCGCTGGAGCGAACGGCCCGCCAGAGCGACGGGCCTCTGGACCTGTCTGTCAAAAGGGACTCGACGGACTCGGTCGGTGAGCAGAGCATGAGAGAGGACGGCAGCCTCAAAGACAACACGACGGAGACGGACGAGGAGGACGAGGAGCTGGAGGAGAAGAGGGAGGAAGAGGAGGACGAGAGCGAGAGGAAGGTGATGAAGGCCGCACTGGAGAGTCGGAAGCAGTCGCTGGACATGCTGATCAAGATGAGTCAGGCGTCGGTGGTGAACGCAGAGGTTCTGTCTCCCGGTGGTCTCAGCCTGAGGCCCAGTCCAGCTGAGGCCCTGTGGCCGAGCAGAACCACCAAGTGTGAGGCCGACTCCAGCGTCCTGCTCTGCCCCGACGGCCGGTCAGTCGTGTTCACCGACATCCCCTCCTCCGTCAAACCCCCAAAGAGACCCCCGTCCATACAGCGACTGGAAGCCCAGTGTCCTCTGAGCCCTTTGACAGCAGCTGACAACTAAACGTCTCGTTGTTCTGACTGTAATATAACTGATTCCATACAGCTGCTCTAATGCAGTTGTCTGTATTGTTACCTTTGAGTTTCATCGGCTGGAAGAAGACTGTCACTCTTGTTCTAAGTTTACCGTCACAAAAAAAAAAAACTTTTGCACCTTATGAGACAAAAAGAGAATGAATGACAATTTGAAAGAAGGTTTTTTTCCCTAATGCACTATAAGGACGTTGATTGTTACGATAAGGTTCTCCTTAAAATACAACAATTGAACGATTAAGTCCATGATAAACATGCTGAGAGACAATCCTTTGGATGGATTTTGTGAATATTGTAATGACAATAAATGTAATTAATGTAAAATGTTTTAAATGGTAATGTTTTTATATGGATGATGTCATGTTGGGCTGCATCATTTTACTTGATGAAAATAAAATGTATTATACACTCTGTATTTCTTTGAGTAAACTGAATAAAACAAAGAGTTTCCTTCTTTTTATGAAAGTGGGACAATGAAAGTCAAGATTTAAATAACAAATTTAAAACAGCAGACTGATTGTGCTTTCCAACTGAGATACATAATTTAAATTACAAATCTATCTGATTAATTTAAATGTTATGTTCAGGTCTTAGAAAGAGGACAAAAATTGACACATGAAATATGAAAATACCAAAAGATTTTGATCAAATTATCTAAAGGAAAAAAAAATCTTATTGTCATCAGTTTGCAGCTTGGTGAGATTTCTCACTATCTACATGCCACCATCAGAATTTATACATTTTGGAAACACAAACAGACACAAACAGATCCAAAGTGGCAGCAGCACCTGATTTTCTTCTATCTGCTCTACGTAGCCGAGTGGCTGCACTAAAGGTGAAGCAGCTCCTTAAGCCAAATCACCCTCAGTGAGGCTACCTGTGCCTCTGCTCCTGGACCCAGAACGGGCCCCTGCAAAGGTCAGGGCCCCGGGGCCGAGCTCCGCATACACTAAAAACTGTCCTGTACCTGTCTGCCCCGAGGACGGGCAGCGAGTGCGGCGCTGCCCCACGTCCTCCGGCCCCGTCACCGCCATCACACTCTGCAGCAAAGGTCAGCTGCCACGAACAGAAGAGCCACCAGCGGATGATCAGCCCGAAGAGGTCAAAATGACTGTCTGATCATTTTTCCCCTCAATTTATATTCGATATCGCCTGAATACATACAGTCAGTAGAAAAATCACACACAAAACAAGAACATAATAAAACAATCCCCAGCAAAACACTTAAATATCAGACATTAGGAGACACTTTAAGAAATATTAAAGCATATATATGTATTTAAATAGTAATACCCCCAATACTGATAATATAGGAAAAGACAAATACAAATCTTTCTACATTTTCTTTCTGAAGCAAAGCATTAGAAATTTTACTGGCTTTTATTAACACCGATCCTGCAGCACCTACTGTATAATAGAAAACACTTTAATCTAAAGTTTAGTTTAGGATCACTGACTCCCTCCAGTATTCCCTATGAATGTCAGCTGTTAATAATCTTTTTAAGGAACAATCTTAATGTTCAATAACAAAATGTTTCTGACTGGTTCTGGGGTTTTCTGTAATACAGCTTGAAAAGAAAATCCAGACCCAGCTGACAGCTCCCTCATGTGGGCAAACAGAGGAGTGTTACAGACGCTCAATGGAAAAGAAAAGGTGAAAAAAGGAACGATAGAAGCTCGCTGGGACAGTCTTTAACAACAGTTTCTAAGTCGTCCAACTGAGATAAAGTCACAGTGAGTTTTATAAAATAACTAAATACTGGTTGTTGTATTTAAGTGGCTTCAGTTCACATGCAAGCTGTATTAAATATAATAATAAACATGCACTTCAGGCTATGTAATGATCAATAAAAGTTACTTATACTGCTGATCAGTTTGAAACGGGAAATGAAAAGCAGCCTTCTGGGTTAAAGTTTGAATGTTGTGTTGATCCATCCATCCACCCTATTGATGATCCATGGAGTCATATTTATGGGAGGTCCATGGACTGTATGTTCAAGATGAAACCCATTTGGGTTTTCTAGGATTAAACAAACCAGAATTAAACAAACCAGGATTGAACAAACCAGATATATTATGTTCATACATGAAGCTGCTTCCAAGTGGATTTTTTTTTTGTTCTTTAAACAGAGCAGGTTTCCTCCAATCTTTATGCTAAACCAGACTAACCCTCTGGACTATTTGTTTTTGTACAAATGAATGTAATAGATATAATGCGTATAGATATAGGAGCTTTAGAGATCCTGGTACCTTTAAAAAGCAAAAAGGTGCTTTAAAAGAACTTGAGCTGCTCTAAAACATTGGTGTAGGATTTTCTTTAAACACTGTAGAGGGAAACATTAAGCAGTGGGTCTGGGTTTCCTCCTGTAGGAAATTCTGCATTGTGGTGAATTCTTATGCGGCAATTTGTGCTTTTCTGCATCATTTTTTGTTGGGAATGTCTGTGTTTATGTAAAGAAAAAACCAAACTCCAGGCATCAGCTGACAATTCTAAATATATGTGACTGCACTGCTTCAAGACATTTATTGCTGACTGTGGAACAATGACTTCTTTTGCCACAAAAGAGTCAGCGTTTGCATGAGCAAAGAATTCTCACTTTCTGTCTGAAACGCTCCGGTTTTGCTCCCGTCTCTTTAAAACCCTCTTTCTGAAAAGCCAGACAACAGTGAGGTTAATATGTTCTGTAACTTCATTTGAAATAGAAATTTCAAGCTGAAACAATGCAGTTGTCAATCACAATGACTGCAGTTTAGCATATATGTGACGCAGCACGTCTGAGTCAGAGTTTAAACTGTCTGGTAAATGATTTTATAAGTTCATGGCGTTATGGATTAATTTTGTAGACTGCGAGGAAGCTGCTCATTCTGTGTTTGACAGTTTGCAAAAGTAGTCACTTGACAGCCATCATGCAAAAGTGTTACATGGTGACATAAATAAGTAACAAAGGAAAAGTCTAGACTTCAAAACAAGGTGTTTCAGGCAGGTACAGAGTTTTCTGTAAGATAGAATCACTCCCTCAGGTGTGAAGTTTGGGCTTTTTAACTTTGCAGAAATATTACATGGACAAAAAAACCTATAACACAGTAATGAAAGGGAAAAACCTGAGACGCATAACACGGGGTCTTTAATGTATCTGTGCAGTCTTTGTTGTCACACGATCTCTTTTCAAAGCATGACCCTTTGTTTACATCTGCTGTCACATGTCTGTCATTATGGGAGGCTATAGTTGTGTCAGGACACACTATTTAAAACATATCATTCTGGCTGGAGGACACTGTCATCCCACAATGCTCTCTGCTTGCCAACACAGAGCTGCCCTGGTCGCTATCGTATTAAACGGTAAGAGACTCCTCCTGGTGGCGCAAACAAGCACTGCAGCTAATGTGCATGTAGAGGATAGTGGTTTTGGGTGTTTGTGCGGGAATGCAATTTTTTCCCCCCCTAACGCCCTCCAGAGCTGTTCAGCTGTTCAAGCATCAACACTGGATTGATTACCTTTAGTTCAATGCACTTTAAGGGTGCGGTAGCTATGGAAACAGTATCAGATTATGACTCGGTAGACGCTAAACATTAAATGACTCATATTGGATTGGGAGCAAAAAAAAAAAAACGATCAGAACATCCCTAGTTTACACCAATAACAACAATAACAATAACAATGACGATAACAATTACAGGACACCATAGGTAGTTTAAACACTGTTTGGACAAAAACCACAACAGAAAAATTTCCAAACACTTCATTTATTTGACGTTATACATTCAAATGAAAATAAAAAATATTCATATATATTTCATATAGAGCTAGTGAGCAAGATACAAGTTTAAAACAAAACACAGAAGTCTTCCGTGTGGCATATATATATACAAGGCGTGGTTTGAATACTATACAGTGTGTATCCATAGCTGCACAGGTTTCATGGATGTTTATATTCTTCACTCAGGCACGACTAGATTTCAGTGAGAGGTCAGGGACTGGGCCAAGTGCTTCAAGACTGCTGCTTACAGTAAAACATTTCAATCTCAACATCTAAACAGTAGGACTTGCAAAGCAAAGCTTATTAGTGTTAGGAGTTCCACACTAAAGCATAAAGTAGGAAAATGAGGCAACATGATCATTCTGCAGTTCAAATCATACTGTACAGTCATGCAAAAAAAATCCGAAATAGTTTTTTTTATGAGATGATATTCTCACACCAAGGTCAAAACTGAACAAAACACAAAGTCAGGTTTTAAGAAATCTTTAAAAATCCAGTATCACTAACAAGTTGTTCACTAAATATGACATTGAGTCAGGATGTTTGGTTGCACTGCAATTATTGACTTGAAGTCACTACACCAAATTTGAGACAAATAAAAACAAGCTTCCTCAAGTAGTCAAGTGATAAGTGCAATCTCACCCCAACCCTTCCCCCCCCTTCACACGCAGACACTCCATTAAAAAAAAAAAACTCTCATACATAAGCAAGTTAAGCATCACATTGTTTTCCACTATCAATCAAACCATAGTTATAGTACAGCAGATGCCCCAACAATCAATAGCAAACCAAATTCTACACATATCCAGTAGTTATGTACAACAGAACTGGTGCAACATTAAAAATTATTAGATATAGACACTGTAACAATAATAAAATACAGCAGATACTTAATTCATATTGGGAAATATATATTATTCATACTGTGTATTGCTGTCTGTTTTGGCATGTTTTGGAGGATCAATATAAACGCTGTCATGTATCCCTCTCACAGTTTATTTGACACAACTCCAACTCGGCCTGATTATACATCTATTTTAAAAGAAACCTTACACAGGATTGATTCTGTAAGTTTTATCAATTAAAAAAAAAGAAAATCAAACTAAAATATGACAACTTAGAGGCATGGAAGCAGTAGGTCCAGGTCGAGAGCCGACCTTGATAGATATTTATTCTCCATTTCCTATGAGACAGTCTTAAGCTGATGCTGGCGCGGCCGTGGCAATCACACCATAAAAACCAAGGCCGGGTAACAGAAAAGAAACTTCTAACAATTAAATCTTCCTGGAATCTTTTGCCTCGAAAAGCTTCATGCGCTCCTGAACGGTTAATCCCTCTTTAAGGCTCTGTTAAAGATAAGAAAGACGAAGCAAATTATTAATGGAAGAAAAATGCACAGAGTGGACAGAGAAGAGCATTAAAAAGAAGAAAACAAAGACGCAGCAAAACAGCTATGTGCTGAGCGAGGCCAACCGTGTCTCACAAAAAATACGATCCTACATTAATGGGCCCATACAGCGAAACTGCATTCTGATTTATGTCTTACTATGACGTCGTAGGAAAAGATTCCTCGTAAAGTTTTGTCCAAAAAAAAAAGAAAATTACCGGCAGTCCCATTACCTGAGCTGTTAGTCTCTGTCTTTATCACAGTAAAGTTTTATTTTTAAGGAAGTCACAGTTTCTAATAGATGTAAAATTGCATTTTTTGGATCAGTATTCATGCTGGAATGTGGAAAAGGTTTTCCCTAAATCATTTCACACAAGTCGAAGCACCATCGCTTGTCCGTGCTTATCTGATAATGTGACAGCATGCAGCTTGGATTAGTGCTGTGTTGACGGTGAAATGAAAATGTTAGACGATTAGGGCTGAAGGGTACTGCAGAATTATCCAATCCAGTAGGTGGTGCTGTTGCAAAAAATAAGGTGAATAGAGATGTGGTTCCACAACAGCATCCTTCAGTATTACAGACACATGTTATTTTAAGCTTTGCAAATTATCAGTTTTTATTAAAATACTTTCTTTCACAACACATTTGAATCTAATTTAACTAACGCGCAGAAAAATCAATCAGTAATTAATCAATTAATAACATAAATTTGGCGCGCTTTATATTGATAATGCACTGCTGTTGCCAACAAGTCCTAAGACGCATGATGTCCTGTTTTGGCCCAATTTGATTTAAGACGTGCACTAGCTAAGCTTTACAGAATACTTTGCCGTGGTGCCCCTTTACTAGCTAAACCCCTATAATACTCTCTACTTGCCAAAAATAGCTTCTAAATACAAAAAGGCTAAAGTAAAGTGAGAGGTTCCACCTGGTGGTGCAACCAGATACTGCACTCAATGTATAATACTAGAAGTATGTAAAATCAAACAGAATGATAACCGCTGTCACCAAATGCTAATTATCAATGACTTGGATTGGATCAGGGAAAGACAAACTTTATCGGGACTCCCTTTCGGAATGCAATTTTGAGGGGACAGGGTTGGCTAGGCAGCTGGTAATCCCAGTTATTTTTTCTGCTATTGATTTATTTCAGGTTAAAATATGAAATGTAGAGGAAAAATGTTGGAATACTGTCATGCCACACAAGGGGACCAACTTATGAACACAAACCACAAATAAATTCCAGCACAGAGGACTCAGAGTTTCAGCAAACAGTAAGACAACTTTAACAAAATGTTTTTTGGGTTGTCATACAATAGGGGAAAAAAAGAGTGCAGGAACATATGGAAAAGTTAGTTGAGACTCCTCAATATTAGGATCTGAGGTAGGTCAATAATCCGCCTGTGAAAAATAACAATTTTCTTTTTTTCCTGTACTGACCACTGAGAGGAATGCAACCTGAAAAGCTTTTACTGCGTGACACTGTTCTAAGACAAACCACTGCTAAAGCTCACACTTGTGATGTTCAACTGAGAAGTGGACACTACACTCAGCTGCAGGTTGTGGGTGGTGGGGCAAAAAGGAAGGGTTTGGGTGTGATAGGAGGGCAGATCATGCGAGGATGGGTAGGGCATGCTTTGGGCTTCATCATGCTATACCTACAGCACATCTCGGGGTGGGGGCTGAGGGGGGAGATCACCCCACAATGGGAGTGTCAGCTATCCCATGAGACCTGTTCAGTGACAGACTGACGGACAGAACAAGACAGATGACACACTTACAGCAAAAAGAGACTTACAGCAAAAAACAGTGTGACCGACGAGCTACTGAACACGTTTCTACTGCGTGTTGACAACAAATAAAGATTCTGCACGACAAAAAGCTTGAAACATGAACAAATTGAAACGGTTGTGTTCTGCAGATGCTACTGGTTTCACATGAATCGGTGGGATAAATGCTGCAGGGGCACTTATGGTGGGGTAAAATAATCTAAACAGAATATTCAGTTGCGGCTGCAGTGCACGGTAACAAACTCTAGGTGGCGCATGTGAGCAGGTAATCCGAAATGGCAGATCATGGTGTGGTTTTTGTGTGGATTCATGACTTTTGTATTTGCTATGAATATGAATATCAATAATATTCTATAAGCCTGTTGTTTTTTAAAAATATCATTTGCTTTTGTTGTTTTTCAGCTACTTCATTTAATTACTAGAGTCCAAGCAATTCTTAATTTTGGGGGCAGATGCTGATTTTTAGAAATTCCTACACTGATATATGGGGCGATATTATTTATAAATATGAACATATATGTATAGAGTATGACTGAGAAGGGAAAATGATGGGGTCATCGATCATGAATTTTCTTTCCAGCAAACTAGTTCGCAGCTTACTGTGAAGACACCACTTGACTCCGCACCACCTTCTGCTCAGCTGTTACATGGACTCTGCTACATGTGCTGCAAGTATTGTAAAAAATGGAGCGGCTGGACAAACTATGTAATGTTTCTAAATCACCCCAAGCATCGTTTATGCTTTGTGTTCCATACAAAAAAAAAAAAAAAAAAAAAAGTATATGCACGCAGCTACTAATACATCTTTGCCAGGCGGGTAGGAGGTGCTCTGAAATATCACAGTCCCAGATACGATCCCCGCTCAGACTATCACTTCTTGCTCATATTTTGGCTGAAGGTTTGAGCTTACTGTTAAACTACATTTCTTCTGCAGCTGACTCACTTCCCGTGGAGTCAAGAACAGCGACACTGTGGTCTCGGGGTGCACTAGCCTAATATCTTGTCACCAACATTTTAGTCTCTGCTGCCACCTAGTGCCTACAGCTATCAAGTACGATCCACACTTAATGCCTCCTTTTACTGCTTCTGCATTGTTGCTGTAACACAGCAGGTAGTCCATCAATTTAAACCAGGAACATCTGTATGATACAGAAAAAATGACAATTATTAGAGAAAGACAAACAGCTGTATTAAATCTGACACTCACCTTTGACCTTACACCTCTTGATTGCTTGGAGGCTGTTGATTTTTCTTTTTTCATGAAATCTGGATTACTTTTTGATTTCATAATATCTAAAAACACAAGGATGACACGTCATTATTGTCATGATTAACCTTAAGCGTCACAAATGTTTTAGCTCTTGAACTGACAAATCCAATCAGTTACACTACCTGGCAGCTGCTGAACTGAAACTCAGTTGCAACAGAGAAAAATCTCCAAAAACAAACAAACAAATCACAGAAACAGAAGCAGTATGCAACAAAAAAATAGAAAACTGGTTGTCACTATATTCCGTATTAATCCTCTAAACCTCAAACAGTTTCTTCCTTGGATTTGGTTTAAGGTTTCCTGACAGAACCAGACGTTGCACATAATTAGTTCAAAGGATTAGTTCCAATTTCTGTTTGTGATCGATGTTACAATTTCAAACCAACTATAAAAAAACAGCCTTTTAAACACATCGACTGGTTTCAGAGGGTTGAATAATAAGAAAAGTCAAACTGAGTGTTTTCTACTTACCATAACCAGATGTAACTGTTCCATCCACAGTCCTCTCACCTAAAGCTTCTGTCGCCATGAGCAGCTTCTCCTTCAGTTTGCTGATGTCGCAGTCAGCCTTTGCTTTCACAATGCTCAGTTCTGTATAGATGTCCTTATATTTGTCTGTGGCATATTTCTTGTCCTATTAAAGTGAGTGGTGATGAATGTGCAGCCTCAGTTTTTCTAATTCTATTGGAAGACCTGAAGAAAAACAGTCTTCAATAAGCTGATTCATAAAGAAGACTTCTCTTACCCTTAAAGCAGACTGCAGTTCATCTTTCAAAGAGTGGATTTCCTGTTTAAGATACTGGATCTCTGACTCCTTTATCCGTAACAAAACCTACACAATGGAAAGAAACACTTAGTTTGAGGAGCAAATTGAGTGTGTGTGGGTGTGTGTTGGTGTGTGTTTAAACCTACCTCCAGTTCATACACGTCTTTGCCCTGGGTCAGCGGCGACAGAGCTGTTTCACCGCTGAAACAGGAGCGCATGCGAGTGATCTCTGCAGTCAGTCGGTTATTTAATTCCTGTCGAGAAGATAAAGTTGCATTTTAACCTGTGGACGAATGACGTCTCTGTGCGTGCGGTGCATGTGCAGGTTCTGGATGTGGATTCTGACCTGGTTGTGAGCGTTTAGCTCCTGGTTCTCTCTCTGACACTGCCTGAGGGCCTGCCTCTCAGCCTCCAGCGCCTGAGCCAGGTGAGCGTTCTCCAGACATTTCTGGGAGTACTGCTCTGACAGCACCTCCAGCTCCCTCTGGATGGACTGCAGCTCCTCCCTGCACAGTAACATCACCAGTATCAACCTGAATTCTCAGCTGATGTTAACTAACTACGACTGTCCCGAGCCTGATGAAGGCAATTATTTAACTGATCTGTATTGGTATGAGCTTAACATTTGAGTATTTTACCTAACACGTGCAGCAATGTCAATATTTGGTTAAGACTTAAGTCAGATTCAGCATTTAATCGATGGATCATGAGCTGACAGTGTTGACAAAATCCAAAACACATGATTCAGGCCATGACAAAGGCAGCTACATATGTCATTGGGACATAAGAATGTAGACTTAATTAATCCTTACTTGCGCTGGCTAGAGGTCATTAAGGGTTCATTTTATGGAAAACCTCTCACAACCATGTGCTGACAGTTTACCTCTTTGCCACACATAGCTAACAGTTAGAGACTTTTCGGTGTTTTCAGGATATAACTTTCAAGTTTCATTGCTGCATGCGTTTGCACGTTTTTTTAAGTTGCAGGAAAAAATTCAAGGCAACATATGAGTTCAAAGGGTTTTTATGTTCTTGTCATGTAACATACTCATATTGTAGGCGGAGTTCATCAATGTCTGAGTTCAGTCCACTCAGTTGGGAGCGTTGGGTCTTTTCCAGTTCCTCTTTGTGCGCATTCTTCATAGCTTCAATAGCTACAGGAAAGATAGAAAAACACATATTTAATTGTTGTGTATCGGACTTGTTAAAAGCATACTAACTATAAGTGCCAAGACAGTTTATTTACCAGCAATTGTTGCAGCGGTCTCCTCTGCCAATAGCCTTTCTCGCTCTTCCATGAGTTTGGAAATCTCCCTCTGATGCTGCCTCTGGAGGTCTTCTATCACCTTCTGGTGTGTTTCCTCCATTGCGGCAAAGCCACGTTCGCATGTGGCCTAGAGGGAAGAAAGGGTCGATAATCCGTCATCGTGAAAATCCCTGTGCACTTACCACCTATATGACAATAGCTTCAGTCAAAATCTAGTAGTAGTTCACTAGCCTACATGCAAAGAGATCAGTGATAGAAGCCATGCAAGGTTTTTGTGCTCTGAAGCCCAGCTATGTTAGTAACAGAGCAAGTTAAAGCTGTGAAACTCTAGTTCAGCAGAGCTTTATTTCTTTTACTGATAGACTATTTTACTCTGGAATAGAATATGGGAAATGGTATATTCATTTGAGTAAAATGATATGTTTAAACTTCAAAAGTGATTTCTTAAGGCATTACTGAAGTCGGAAGATTAGAATCGGTTCTAGAAGCCCTACAACACTTAGTTCAAACATTAAACATCTTCCACCCATAGTGTTGGAGTGAACCCCAGTGTGCACGCCAACCTGCAGGTTCAACTAATGATTTGTCTTTCAACTAGAGTTGCGCTTATTTAAAACATCAAAACAGAAAAATCATTGGTTTTACTATATTTCAGCATAGTTTGTCAGATGCTTTTATTATACTGCTGTTATCAGCAATACAAACTTTCCACAATCCCATGTGAATGAGCCCCTTTGGGTCTGAAGATGTGTATTTAGCAATTTGTGGGAAACATGAATGACTGTACCAAATGTCAAAGAAATCTATCCAAGACAATTCAATGAAACCTACTAATGGTGGCCCTATGATAGAAAAAGTTAGGGAGGTTAAAACAGTCATTGGGATTGATCTCCTGGAAGCAATAGATTTCTGTTTCTATGTGCCGTCCAATATTTGGAAAATATTTGGAAACACTTAACAAAGTGGTGAACTGACTGATCAACCACTAGCATAGCTGAACGTGAAGGCCAGACTTTGTATTAGTGAATTATGAATATTATCAGGACTTGTATGTGAGAAAAACAGTAACAAAACATCCAGTTTGAGACATCCTTCAAAGATTGAATTAAAATCATGCTGTAGTTCACATGAAAACTGTTCATGTCATCTCAAATCACACCATTTCCCAATTCCAAACCATCAGTAGTAATTAGTAGAATGAAGAACCAAAGTGAAAAAGTTATTTAGCTACGCAACTATTCATCTATTACTCTCTTCTTTAAATAAAAGTCTCTAAATTCACTAAGGGTAAAATGAAAGAGCAAAAAACCTTAAGACTCTCAAAGTCTCTCTGGTATTTCTCTCTCAGGCTGGTCACATCTCCTTCAAGGTGCTTGTTCTCCAGTTCGTCCTTCATGCTATTCATCTGAGTCTCCAGCTCCTGGATTCGGTCTTTCAGAAGCACCATGGAGTCCACCTCTGACATGTTTTGTGCTTCCTCCCACTTCCCCTGCTCCTCCTCCTCCATCGGTGTCGCCGCCTCGTCACAAGTAGGTGACTTGGAGACTTTAAAGCCTTTTTGCTCTTTGAAAAATTGAACGTTTTCTACATACTGGGAATGCAACTTTTCGATCTCCTCTCTGTGGATGTGCTGGAGCTCACAGATCCTCTGTTCAAACTGCTCCTCCAGCTTCCTCACATGACTCTCGTGCCGCTCCTCCATCGTGTCCATGTCTCCGAGCAGAACCTCGAGCTTCCGTTGACTGTCCGCCGTCGTCTCCATGAGGGCCAGCTCTGTCGAGGCGCGACCTTGCTCCGCTTGGCTCAGCTCTTTTTTATGCCTCTGCTTCAGATCTTCGGTCTGGTTCTGGAAATGCTGCTCCAGGAGCGTCGCCTGCTCCTGCTGCTGGGAGAGCTGGTTCACTCGTTTGCTGATCTCACTCTTCAGCGTTTGATTCTCCTTTTGGAGGGTGGCCACTGTTTGCGTGAAGCTCAGGCGTTCCTCTTGTAAAGACGCTTCATATTTTTCTTGGATTACCGTGACATTGCGGGCGTGCTGCTGCACAAGAGCATCCATGTTCTGACTGGTCTGTTTGCACCAGCCCATTTCTTGTTCGTGCGTGGCCCTCAACCTACAAGCCACATACGCTACCTGAGCCTGGATAAGAGCTTCACGCATGCAAAGAGAGGTACTTGTGAAGTTCTGTGAAGTTTGGTGCCCTAACAAAGCGTGGATCATTTTAGACAATCCGGGATGGTTACCGCCGCTTTCTATCTCTTGGGCATACTGATGGAGGATTGCTGCTTGTCTCTGAAGCTCATTAGCCAGGTTCTCGTGTGCATTTTGCAGCGACTGAACAGAGTCAACACCACAAGAGGGCATTTCTGCAGCCAACTGTCTGTCTACGATCTCCTCAGCCAAGTTCCTAGCTTCTTCTGTTTCGATCTGCTCCATGTAGGGCGCAAGTTCAGGAGGGCGAATGTCGGCCAACTTTTGTTTACTGTAGCCAAAGTTATTTTTCACTTCTTTAATTACTGCTTTCAGATCAGGCCGTTTGGAAGCTTCAATAATTGCCTTCAGAGCCACGTCCCTTTGATGCAGGTTACTATGGGCTTCAGTTAACTCCCTTTTCAGTATTTTGAACTTCTCCTCATAGCAAACTTTAAGGTTTTGAATCGAGTAGACTAGTTCGGCTTTTAGGAAGGTGTTAAAGACAAGCGTGGCATCGACATCTACATCAGCTACGACACTGCCCTCTTTGGATTTAGCAACATCTGTCTCAGCTTTCTCCAGTTCCTTCCAGAACGCACTCTCTAACATCAACTTTCTGGTCAAGACATCAGCGTAAACTATAGCCAAGCAGTCTTTGTCGCTCCTTTTAATGTGCTCTATGCCTTCCCATATCTCTGCAAGAGCTTGTAGGAGGTCAGACTTTGAGGATTGTATCAACAAAGCCATCTTGTTCAACACTACCGCCTCAAAAGACAAGGTTTTGGCAAAGAGGTGTGCTGCGTCTTTATCTATGGTCTCTGGGGTCTGACTCTGATGGACGGCTGGTGATTGCTCTTCCAATGTCTTTTGCCCTTGCCGAATGTGCAGCGATGCGTTGAACAAATCAGTCTCTATCTCTGACAATGAGTGCAGCTGTGAATCAGTGGTCTCATGAGAGCCACTGAGGATAGTTCTTACTTTCTCTCGACTGTTTTCCACACATACAAGGGCCTCGGTATAATGCTTAATGGCAGCACTACTCTGTATCCCACTTCCACCACTACTGTCTGTCTCTGGACGGGGCACCTTTTCTGTCAGCTTTAGATCAATCTTGCACAAGTCCTCTGCCTCCGTGGATCGTTGCACTTCTAGATTCTGTGTTAGGTTTCTTAGCTTATCTTCAGTAGCTAGCAGTTTAGTCTCTAGGGCGTGTATGATGGAGATAAACTTCTCTGGGTCACTAGCATGTGGGAATGTGATATCAGAGGGGGGGTTTCCTTCAGCTAGATGAATGTCTTCATTTGCATCTTGCTTATCTTTCTGTCCTGCGTCTACAAAGCTGCTGCTCATCTGGCTGGAGTCCATGCCCTCGAGACTGATGTATTTTTGGCACTGAATATTGGAAAAACGTATCCTTGGTCTTTTAGCTTGAGACTCCTTATCATCTGAGGAGTTCTCTGTCTTGGCTGTATTGTCTAAAGAAAATGAGGACTCTAAGTTTGATGACATGGAGAATGACGTTTTAACCCTGGCCTTCTTGCTCTGTTCTGGGATTTGCTTCCTTTCCATGCGTAGGTCAGCATAGCCCAGCTGCAGGGCATTGAGGTGCTGCTCTAACTCTGCAATGCGGTCCTCTGCAACCACAAGCTTGGCTTGCAGCTCCTTCTCAGCAGTACAGGGCTCAACCTTATCTAAGAGGCTTTGACTCATTTGACAAAGAAGGTCCTCCTTAGCTTGCAACTTCTGTTCCGTTTCCTCTAAGCTGTTGCCAAGCGCAGTCATTTTAACAAGGGCCTCCTTTAGGTCTTCTTCCTTACGTTCCACCAGTCTCTCATACATCTCCTTAGTCTGCCGGATCTCTTCCTCTTTTTCTCTAAGGAACTGGCTCATTTTCTGGAACTCCTGAGTAGCCCTCTCATATGAGTGCTCCAGGGTGCAGTAATCAGCCTCTTCCGTTTCCAGACGATTGCGGAGCTTGTTCACCTCCCGGTCTGCTTCTGCTATCTGGTTCAGAAGCTCCTGACAGCGGCACGTGAGGTGGCCTTTCTCTTCCTCGAGCCTGCGCACACTTTCCCTCAGCGACTCAACCATGTCGGTCTTTTGGGCCAGCTGCTCTTGCAACTTCAGCATTTCCTCTCTGCATTCTTTACTTCCTGAGGCCCGTCTTCCTCTTAACAGAGCCTCCACCTGCTGCTCAGCCTCCAATAGCTTGTCCTCTGTTTCTTTCTGTGTGGTTTCAGCCTCAGCTAATCTTCGACACAGATTCTGCCTCTCCCTCTCATGACTCTCTTGTATGCTGCTCTGCTCCTTCCTCAGGCGCTCCTCCTTCAGTGCCTGACCCTCCTCTGTAGCATTTAGTCGAGCAGTCACCTCTTGCAGCCTCTCCTGCAACCTCAGTACCTCCCTTGTGTGGTCTCGCTGCAAGGCCTGCTGGTGCTCGAGGTGCCGGAGGGCCTGGTTTCTCTCTAGGAGACTGGCCTCTACTTCACGGAGTCTATCTTCACTGTCCTTCAGCTGGGTTCGCAAGGTGGCCTCACCACGGCCATATTCCTCCTCTTGTTCTTTTGAGCGCTCCTGCTCTAGCTTGAGCTCGTTCCGCATTCGTGCCACAGCCTGTTCACTGGCTAAGATTTCATGCATTGCAGACGCAAGTTTAGTCTGCAGAGCCTGAATGTCAGTCTCATGTCGGTCTACAGCGTCCTGGGCTTCGGTGTAGCTTCTCTTTAATGTCCGGATCTGCTGCTGAGCAAGGTCCTGCTTCCGTTTTTGGGACTCCAGTTCGCCCTGTAAGTCTTGATTAAGCCTGTGCAAGTGTTGCCATGGCACTTTGCGTGGTGAGGAGGAAGGGGGTGTTGCACTCTTGAAAAAGATTGATGAGACAGTTTCATTAATGACAAGACTTTAGCTCCCTTACCATACACGGAGAACCACATCTCGCAGGTTACCAGGAGAATAAGTTTTCTCCTTTCTTGTTATCAATTTTTTCCCAAGCTTCCACTGTGCTTTTTCAGAGGACACTTGGAAACTGAAAGATGAATTCATCCCCACCCCACCCCAACAAAAAATAACATAAAAAAACAAAACAAAACAATGGGTGACTACCATCGTGATTTTAAAATAAAAACCAAAACAAACATATTGGAATTTTAATGTATGACTTTAAAATGGACATTGTTTAAAAAAAAAAAGCAATTAGTTAAAGCATGCAGTTCAGAAACACAAAGCATGCGGAAATTAAGCTGGGAAAGAACACACACACATGAACAGAGAGAAAAAGCACAGCGCAAGGCTCCTTGATCAAGTGTCTTACCTTGAGCATATCTGATCAAATCAGTTATTCTCCCAGGAGATGTGAAACTCCGTCAACAAAGTTAGTGAAAACTCATGCTAAGAACACCACAACCATGCGCATCAGTTTCAGAGAATAAGCACCCACACCTGTTAGTAGAAGTTTTTAAATGTTGCAGTAGCTGCACATAAATCTGTCATGAACCAGGTGACTGCAGATCAAAAATGTCAACAGCCTCGAGGTGCAGATAGTAATTTTACTTTACCGTATATTTATATAAACTACTAATATCATTCTGTCTCAGGATTTCTTTCCTAAAATTCATGTTATATTTGCACATGGTGTGTATTTTACGACACACTCTGAGGCTGCATGATAAATGGTGAGTGTGGTACCTGCAGTACATAGCCCTCTCTGGCACTGTGTTCTCTCCCAAGCGCGTCTTCCAGTTGCTCCTTTAAAAGGCTGTTCTGCTTCTGTAGTCGGTCCAGCTCCTTCTGCTTCTGTCCCAGCTGAAGAGAAGAAATGATGGGCGAATGGCTCAAGATGTTCTGACACCATAAATACAAGCAATACAACGGTATTTGGAAAGTAACACCTTTTCTGATCTTGAGGTTCACCATTTTCAAAGACATGGATGTGTGATACAGAGGTGTTTTAACACAGCTTAACACAAATTACGGTCCTTCAACTCCTCATCTTGATGAAATCTGAGCTTGAAATCATAATAACTAATCAAAATCGGTTTATTCTGACTAATCTAAAAAATGTCAGAAATAATCTGCACTAACCAAATCCTGTAAAAAACTAAACATTCTGACCCCGCTGATGCAACTGTGAAGCCATTAGTGACTCAGTTTTGACGTTTGAGTCCAAGTTTTTAAGAGGCTTCCCCAGAAAACTAATAATAAAACCTGTTCAAGAAGCTTATATATGTGTGAGCCGTTTGTGTTTCTATTATGATCTCAGGTCATAAATGGCTGCATCCTACTGTGACACAATTTAATGCATTTGGAGAATAAAGCTTGAGTTACTACTTTGGCTGGTATTTACTGATCATTTTGATGCTGATGGAAGCCACAGGATATACATGAGCCTTCCGTGTGGTCTGATTCAGCCAAAGTTCTGGGAAAGCGGGAAATCCTTGATTGGCAGAAATGTCAAATGTGCTAAACTAAATATATTATTGTCCATTTACTTTTGAACCCTTCAACTTAGAGTTCTTTTTATACTGATATGAACCTACACGTGTAATTTCTGACCGAATTAGCTGAAGCCTAAAGAACAAAAACTGTAACGGTCGACTACTTATGTTCAGGACTGCATAAGATCAGAGTGAGTGAACGCACCTCTTTGTCTAGCAGCGCAGCAAGCTCATGTGCAGGCAGCCTGTCCGAGTTGGTGGAGTTTTCTAAAGCTGTGGAGATGGGCACTTGCTTCTCTTCTCTCAGTGGCGTCGTCTCCACCTGATGCCATCGCTGTTCAATCTCTTCTTGGACATCCGGGGATCTATTGCCCTTCTTATCTTCACTCCCAGGAGACACGGCAGCAGGATGGTCTACCTCCATCCTTCCTTGCTCCGGGCTTTCGGGCGTCGACGGCTGTACCGACGGCGTAGCGTTTAGCGTGGAAATAATAGTAACAGTAACAGTATTTGGTATGTGAGTCGCACTGGTTGTGCTGTGAGGAGGGGCGCCCCTCCTGACGTTCTCCTTTTCTGCCTCTTCTGTCGTGGACGGTGGATGAGCACCTGACACAGAGGAGGTTTGGAGGGAGGAGGTAGAGACAGGAGAGGACGCCAAGGAGGAGGGCGAAGAGGAAGGAGAGCAGTAGGAGGAGGTTGTGGAGAAGGACGAGCTCAGGTCAATCGTGCCCGCTCGCTCTTTCACAGGCTTTTCCGTCTGTTCCATTTTGAACTCAGACCAGTCGTAAGTCTTTGAGCGGCCCTCTCGTCTGCGCTCACGGACTCGGCTTTTCCGCGGCTCGGAGGGAGCAGCAGAGCCCGGCTGTCTGTGGGCGTCGGACTTGGGGACGTCAGGACTGGGGTTTGGCTCGGGGGCGGCCTGTAGACACGGCTCCAGCATCACGTGGGACTTGATCTTCTCATCAGGGATGGATCTGATCAAACAAAAAGACAAAAGAATAAAACACATATATATTTGTATATGTGGGGTAAACAGAAGACGATGACGACTTTTTGTATTCACATCAGCTCAATCTATCACATGAAGCTTTGCTGGACAAAACAGCGACACAACAACATTTCTGGTGGTGCAGCAGATTATAGCGGTGCAATTCCAGGGTTTCTGCAGGGTCCTCCAAGTTAAATGTACCACCTTTAAAGACTTTTTCTATTTGACCAAGATGCAATAAAAATATTCGACACATAATCAGATCAGCAAAAGTATGAAAGTATGAAGAAAAACTAGAAGGCCTTGATTTTTTTATGTTCTTTTTCAGTAGTCCTCAGCAATGCATAACAACAAGCTAGTGTTATACTACAACTAGTGGAAGAATTAACCAAACCATCGATTAATTTAAAGCTGCAGCATGCAAAACGGACAAAGAAAAAAAGAAGCCACAATTTAAAAATTCAGCCAAGACAAGATGCAGAAGTCTAGCTTCCTTTCAGACCACATGAATTTCAAAATGCTGGAATTTTTTTCCAATGGCGCCAAACATGACTGCCGATCTCAGCTTTAAGCCTTTGCTAAACTTGACACTTGTCCATTGTGAAATGACGAACCCCATATTTACTGTACAGACAGGTAGTAACAGTGCATGCTGTCCAATGGTGCTAACGTAAAAAAGGCCACAAAAAGTCCATCTTCTATTGCACCCATCACACTTTAATGTCTTTGTAAACAGGCTGCAGTTCAGCTGAAAAGTCCCTGAATTTTTGTCATGTGACTGTTGGTTCAAGCTGAGTCACTAACGACTCCTCAGTTGGACAATAAATTGATTTTAATGAAAATATTATGATTTGAAGCTGATGGGACCGGAAGTGACACGTGAATATTTCAAGGACCATCAGAAAGTTAAAAATGAGACGATTCTTTCTTTTGATAGTTTCTAAATGGTGCTATTTTGGCAATTTTTAAAAGATGACAAGCCTTCTAAACCCACCGATGGGTCCAAAAACAACACCAGATTCCAAAACACTTTGCAACTAAAAGCTCTTTTGTACTTTTTAAGACCAGCAGATACCCTGACACAGAAACATGATAAACATCAGTGGCACAGATCCCAGTAAAAGCATAGCATCAGCACCAAAACATGTATAAGGCAGACAGTGGGGCTGAAAGCAGCTTTGGTGTTGGTGATCTGAGGTAAGCCTGACGGCAGATGGCTGCCTTTAGCTCGCTACTTTAATGCAATTTCTATAGTAGCTTAATGTGCAGAATGTGTTTGCAGTAAACTGCTCACTGATGTGCACTCAAAGTGTTAAAGGGCAGAGTGACCTGACAGAATAATCCTTTTTTTTTTTTTTACCATGTGTGGATGTGTGATGGGGGTGGGAGGGGGAAATGAGAAGAGACAGAGCTCAAGAATGAGAAAGAGAGGCGCAGAAATAGTTGGAATACCAAACGACCTCACCTTGGACAGGAAAGTGTGTGACTCAGTGAATGTGGGTCAGAGTAGTGATACAGTAAATCAGCTTTGCTTTTTCAAAATAAAACAACATTTTAAAGTAGTTAAATCATCCTCAGGCAAACTGCTGCTCGGAGAGAGTTAAAACTCTTCATAGCGCAGCTCCTATATCTATCTTCTATCTTCTTTTGTGCCTCAGTTGTGATTCGCTCCTAAAAGCTACTGAGCGGACAGTCAAAGCTCAGTGATGATGAACATCCGTCTGTGGTGTTGGGCAGATTATTCTAGCGTGTCGATGCGACTGCAGTGTGTGTGTGTGTCTCTACGGTGGCATAACTGACAGGGAGACATTACTCAATAATCACATGACACACGGTGGGACGACAAACACGCCGGGGCTGACATAGCTGAGCAATTACATCACTGTTGGAGGAGGAGGGGGGAGATATTCAACACACAAGCACTCCAACCTGGGCTTCAGAACGGATAGTTTCAGAGAGATGTTTTTCCTGGAAGCAGGTTGAAAATACCAGTTGAAGGGGCACAGAGATAGAGAGAGAGAGAGAAAGAAGGAGAAGGTGAGGAGGAGACAGGAGTTAAAATAATAAATAAAGTGAGAAAAAGCAGTTGCTGTTGTTGTTGTTGTTGTATGTGCCGATGGCAGGTGTTAATCCTCGCTGGGTATTACCGGGTGACATCGGGGGCAATAGTGGGTCGCACATTCTTCATAATGGCCTGAATCCAGTTGCGACGGATCCCAGAGGTCATGGCTGACAGGGTGCACACTCCCTCCTTACACTGAAAACACACAGGCATTTCATTGAAGTGAGTGACAGGACGAGACGACATGTCGATCAAAATAACTTCTTGACAATGTGAACAATTTTAGCCACTTTTGATCCAAGGCTCAACGACATATATTTAGTGAATTACATGTCCTGAAGCTACGTCCTTACTGCATTGTAACTTGGACATTTTTTATTATTGCATGTTCCCTTCATTTCTATATCAATTCATTTATATGCTGAAATACTGTCTTTTTTTTTTGACAGAAAAACATCCACAGCCTCGCTTTTCAATTTTCACTCCTTTAAAAGCACTTGAAACAGGACGAGCAGATCGTGCTGTTAAACCACACGGAGCTTGAATGGAGTTTCAATGGCTGCAGAGCATGAAAGCATCACAATGACACATTGTGGAGGAGAAGAGTCTGTATTTTTAGGCTCTCGTTACACCCACAATTCTAACACCATCTAGATGAATAGAACACAAGAGGTTTGTGTGTAATTTGCAACACATTCAACGTACTCTCTGTTTAAATCTATACACCACAGATATTTTAAAGTTTATGTTAAACATTTGTAAGATGTGTTGTTCTCTACAGCCTCCGGGTGTGTTGTTTTGTTACAAATCTGAGTGGCTTGATTTTGGTTTATAAGGTGTGAAACTGGCAGCAGATGAACAGAAAATGGGACAGACTCATGTAAAAATCTGCCATTAGACATACAGACCACCATGCAGTCAGTCTAAATAAGTACTTCTGGTTTAACTCTTCATCTATTACATAAACCACACTTGTTAAAAATCATCTATGTGCTACTTTGAAATCTTTTTTGCAGACTTTATTGTAACTGCAGTATAAAGTCCTGCACCTCTATGGAAACAGCACAACCAGGGTTAGAAGTAGAGACAACTCAAAAATACCTTTGGTGCACTGTAACAAAGTTATAATGACATAAATCATAAGAGAAGAAAAAAATTAAAGTGGAATTTTTTAGATTATTTATTTTTTAGAAAACAAAATAAATAAATAAAATAAATAGAACTTATTATGCATGTATTACAACATTATTGTAACATATTTCCAATTCCCCTCAGGTGTCACCACGACTGGGAAGGAATGGTGACTCTACATACTTCATACTAAATTTGTTTCCATTCTTGTCTCCTTTCTGCTCTGTGTAAACACAACCTGCAGTTCAGCCGAATAGTCCCTGAGTCGTACTTATGTGATTGTTGGTCGCAGCTGAGTCGCTAATGTCTTCATGGTCGCAATAAAAAGTGCAGAAGTTTTGGGCTTTTACTGAATGTGATTGCAGGAAACACTTTATTTTTGGACAATTTTTAAATGAAACATGCAAAACAAAGGTGATTTCAATGAAAAGTTGTGATTTTAAGCTTAGCAAGTCAGTGATGAGTAGTTCAAGGACTGTAGGACAGTTGACAATCTGACCATCCTTTTTGTTTGAACAGTTTTTCACTCTGGTAAATAGCGTCATTTGGGCAGCTTTAAAAGATATTATGCCTTTCAAATTTGATTTGCAGGTGGGTTTTAGGGTTTAGAGAGTTCAAGTCTGTTGTTAAAAGCAAGTTGAGGAACATGCAACACATAGAATTACACAATCTTACATTTTGATGAGACATGCCTTCTTCAAATAATAGTAGAAATATTCTCTTAAAAAGCAAAACTCTCGACTCAGTAACTCGTGCGTTCAATAAATGTACCATAAACCTCACATACAGAGACCTCTAGTGACAGTTAAATGACCCCTACAAGTACCAGGGCTTAAGAAACCTGGCGCCTCGATCCAGGTATGAGGATTTTCAAGATGGTGTTAACGCTCCACAGCAGCACAGCTAATGACAACAGCCCCTTCCAGTCTGACGGAGAGTAGATATAAATACTGCAGTTATTAATTTCTCGACACCAAACCCGTGTTGTTCTCAGCCAAAGAGACAACGATCCCCTTGACTACTCTATTTCTGACTTCCTTCACAAAATAGCCGTGGAAGCTACTTCGAGCAATTGTAAACAAAAGAAAACGACCACGTGGCTCTCGTTCTTGTCGGATTAGTTTGGCGGGTTTGAATCTATATGTGGCAGGAACAAAAGCCCCACTAACATCCAATTGCACTGCAAGCATCTATATAAGTCTGGTAAGTATTTTGCCAGCAACGGGTGCTAAAAATGTTTAACGGGCAAAGGATTATATGAATGAAGCGCTGTCTTGTTCACAGCAATATCAGTGATTTATGCAAACTCTTTTCTTTCCCCGTCTTCTGCGAGTGTTATTGAGGAATCGCGGACAAGGACGGGGCTTTTGAAAGCACGAGGATAGCTGAACACATTGTGCAGGATGAAGGCCGCCTGGGTTGAGAGAGCCGAGCCGCTGGAGCACATTTAGAGCGCGATGATGTCAGCCCTTCACGGAGAGATGACAAGTCAAGTGACATCCTTCGTGACAGACAAAGAAGCGTTTCAGGAAGAGAAATGGCAAAACCTGATACCTAAAGTTGCAGCACATGGCAGTCGAAGGCTGTTTATAGATATGAGGCAGGAGACGGCGGAGCCAAACTGTGCAGACAATGAGGTTCGTCTTCACTCGTGACCGACGGCGCGAGACAATCGATGACACGGAGAATCAACACTCACCAGGATTTGGAAGCCGTAATTCCTCTGGACGGGGAACTCTTTGACGTCGTAGCACGTGGAAAGGTCGATCTCGCCATCCAATTCTGAAGCCTGAGGGGGAAAATAACAACAGCTCTTATTAAATTCCTTCTTAATTGCACCGTTCTGCAATTTAAATGTCAAGAAAAAATATGACACCTCTTGCACAACAAGTCCTACCTCCTCAGCTATGGAGTCCTTATAGTACCTCAAACTCTGGTCTGTCAGGACGAACCAGTGTTTCTTCCACTAAGGAACGAAGAAAAGAGAAGGCATTAATTGCATTTCATTTATCCTTTCTCTATAATGTATCCATTCAATAAGGGAGAGGAGCAGAAACTGCTGCAAATGAAAATAAATCACCGTTCCATCTTCATACAGCTTCGTCATCCATCCTTTCTTGAAGTTCAGCAGATCCGGCTGCAATTAAAACAGATCACAGTGATGCAGTATTATTATATGTGATGAAACTAGTTTATTACATTAAGAATCAATTAAAAATGGCAAAGCATTATGCACATTAATTAGTCAAATTTCATTTTGTTCAAACTTTTTGCACTAAGTCGTCCCCACATAAGAAGTCATCCTTTGGTGCATTTTCATCTCTGATGTAATCCCAATATAACGGAAGTCTTATTATTGCATTTATGTGCATTTGCTTACATTTAGGTAACCACCTCAGCTCAAGAATTAGAAGCACCGATACGTGGCTCCAGCTACGCAGACTGACTGGCGGGAGCCGGACTTTCCCTGTGAAACACAAACTGCTGCACATCGAAACCAAGCTCAGGTCTGTTTATAGACTCTAAAGTAACCGGTTGGTCCAAAAATCCTGGCCTCTGCTCCCTCTGCAATACCTTGTTTTTGTTGAGCTTCATCAGGTGAGGTGTCACCGTCTGGCAGAGAGTCATTCTGATGGCTAACTGCCTTCCCTTCTTATGTTGACAATCTGCTTCTGTCCGTCTGTCCCGGGGACGTACACAACGACTCGCGGCTGCTTCTGTGCTGGCTATTTATAATCATCAGTAGCAGTGGCGGCGCTGCTGTGTACATGGGTGGGTGTGTGTTTGAGTGGGTGGGTGGGGGTGTTGGCAGCTGCAGCTCAGAGAGCAACCGCACGCTGGGTGGGTGGGTGGGTGGGGGTGTTGGCAGCTGCAGCTCAGAGAGCAACCGCACGCTGACCGGATCGGGCCCTGAACAGAGCACAGATCAGACTGGTAGGAGTCAGACCTCAGGAAGATCCCAGTGCAACCTTACGCAACAGGAAGGCCACATTAACCTCATCTGTGGAACTTGTTTTCAACTATAGGTGGTCTTGTGTCCAGTTGAAGTGAATTAGTGTTTGTGTGACCAGTACTGCAGGGCGGCTCACGCTAATGCCTAAACAAAATAAATCTGATCATCTGTACAGCATTTAGCAGTCTGGATGATGATAAAGATTAGAGATCCTCAGTTTGTTCAGCTGGAGGCTTTCATGTCATTTTCATGCACTCTTACTTCTTTTTGCTTTTTTGTTTCTATAAACGCTTTTTTTGCACGTATGAAAAACAATTGCATCATCCTGCATTGTGCAAATATTTCTTACTTATTCATAGAGCTGCAATGATTCACTGATTATCAACCTTCTGAACCCAAAAAGCTGCCAGTGAGTTTAAAAATCTTATTTTCTAAAAAATACCTAAAACTACAGAATTTATTAGCAAATATGAAAACAAGAAGAATCCCTGGATTTTCAACTCTTCAGTGGTCCATGAAGTACTCACCTGTGAGCTATCATTTTGCTTCATCAGAGAACCAAACGTAAGCCTAAAATTATGATATTTCATATTTTTATTTATTTTTATTTTTTTTAAAGGAAGAACCTCCAGAATGATCAACAGCTTCATGCCACAAGCTGTCAGAACGCTGAACTGCTGATCCAGACATGCAAACACTTCTTTATTTAAATTGCTTTAAGTTATTGGATCCTGTAGAGACATTCTCTCGTCTTGCCTGTACTACTGTGTATGTACAGCAAAATGACAGTAAACTTGATTTGATTTGATTCATCAAAATCTCGTTATCCAACATGTCTCAAATTCTGGGACTGTTGAAGAGATTATGTTAGTTTGAGTCATTTTTTAAAAGAAAGAAAGTCAAAATTCTCTAATTTCAGCTCCTTAAACGTATTTTTTCTGGTTTCTTTACTCCTTGATGACAGTAAACTATGTATCTTTAAGTTGTGGACAAAAAAAACTCAAAACATTTGAGGATGGCATCTGGGGCTTTGGGAAAACACAGATGGACTTTTTTTTTCACTATTTTCTGACATTTTATAGATTAAACAACCAATTGATTATTAAAGAAAATAATCAACAGATTGATGGACAATGATGATGAAAATAATGGTTAATTGCAGCATTACTTATCTTATGTGATAGTCCAAACTTATCAAACATACATTTTTATATTCTTTGTCACAAAACTAACCTTTGGGGACTCTACAGAAGGAGATCAACTGTCTGGGTCACCAGTGCAGCAAATTGGGTTGAATCTCTGCAGTAGCGCCTCTGGTTTAGCTTGACGCTCTACTGAACGCAGGTGGGAGTTTTGTTGGGCGGGAAGGCGTACTGTGTTCTCTGCACTATCTTTACGAGACCTTAAAATGATTTTCTAGCCCACGGTTTATGGCCCCCTTTACACTTCAGAAGTACAGTCAGCACTCACAGTCATTGAGGACTCGGTGACTCTGCGGTCCAATGACTTGGCTCTTCTTAAGTTGGCAAAACTGGAACTGGACACATCAGGGGCTGAACGGTCCTTTGCTGAATCAAGAGACATCTCCTGTAAATATAGAACAAGTATTAGCAAATACAAGTTATTTTTTTAAAATTCAGTTTGGTAAAATTTTTGATGGATTATCTTATCTGGTTTAATTTATCCAGGATTACTTAGGGAAGCGACATACATGTTTGCTTGTCAGAAAGCGCCTCTCGCTGCGGCCTTGTCTCTGGGTTAACACTGTGTTCACTGAGGGCTCATTGGAGTTGCTCGTGTCCATACGCTCAACATGTTGACCGTCCTCGAACCGGCCGATGATTTGAGTTCGCCTTAGAGACACAAAAAGAACATTCTTTTCAATATACAGTACATATCTAACAGAGTCTAGTCAGACAATGAACATCTTTAAAAAGCACTGTTCAGCATACCAAAAAACATCTTAAAAACCATAATGATGCAGCACATCCTCCTCAGAATCAGATAGCATAAAAACCAAAGCATGACATGAAAGCAAATTTGAGATTAAATCATTTTTCATAAGGGATAGAAGCAGTTTACTTTATGCAGATTTAAGGCTTCAGACATCAGTCAAAATTATTTCCATAGCAAATATGCAATTAATATCCCCAAAGAGAGCCATCCAGAGATACACCAAAGAATCAAGAGTGATGTTACATGATTAGAGATCAACTTTAGAAGAAAAGGAAAATGACAAGGATGGTGGATTAAACGCATCGAGGGAGTAGCAGCAATGGCAACACGGTCGGCGTTACCTTAAGGCACTGCACATGTCTGAGAAAGTAGGAACCACGTGTACCCAACCATCAGCATGTATGCAAAGTATGCACAGTAAATCAAGTGTTGTAATAAAGAGTGCATGGGTGTGCTCCCAGGCAGTGCAGAGATGAAATGATAGAAAGCAGGAATCAGCGGTGACCAGCAGGGAACAGCATTGGGACAGGGGTGGAGGGGTTGGTTGAGCACTAGCTCTGAGAAGCTCTGTTCAGAAGACCCTGGAAAAGATTGAAATGACAAAAAGTAGAAAGGTAGCAAGAGCAAAAAAAAAAAAAAAAAGTAGAGACCAGTAGAAAATAACACGTGCATTTCAATCCCCCAGAATCATTAATGGCCAACCACTGGTCAGCTAGGGTAGGCAGCAGCAGCAAAAGATGCTCAGGAGACAGAGGGGCCTTAAAGACAGCAGCCACAGGGTGGTGCTAAGAAACTACATGTGGCCTGTTTTCAGCAATGCATGAGCTTCATATGATTACTTGGCATGCTTTGTTTAGATTTTAGGGTTATGCCAAGGGCTAACAACCAGTGGCTCATTAATGATTACTATTCATGTTGCTATAAGTATCACAAGCACTTAAAATATCTCTGTGGCATCTTTTCTTGCAGAGGACGACACTGCTCCTCACCTGCGCTCCTCCCCAAACAGCCGAGCCACCTCCTCCCTCCCAGGACTCCGTGTTCTGGCCCTCAGCTCCTGGCGCTTTTTCTCTGAGCGGAAGGCTTCTCTGTAGGTCAGCCTGCGAGCTCGTGGCACGTCAGACAGCGCCGCGTACTCCCTGCCAGACCGGCCAACCCTGCCTCCTCCTCCGCCGCTGATGCTACCGGAGCTCCCTCCACCACCGCCTCCGTGTCCCTCCCAGGTGGGCGTAGCTCCGCTGGGATCAGAGTCCAGCGAGCTCTGGGAGGAGCTGATGGTGGAGTAGCTCGGGGAAACAAGCGCACCTGGAGAGGGGAGAGGGTCCTGCGAGGGTTGGTGAGGGGAAGTTTGGGGTTCAGATTCAGAGTTGTACCTGGAACTGGGAGCTCCGAAAGAGGAGGATGATGTTGAAGAGGACAGGGGAAGGTGCTGGGGTGGCTGAGGGTGGTGTGCAGACTGTGGAGAAGGCTCCGACTTGGTCTTCTCCAGGGAAAAGTAGCCACTCTCCACTCGTACCTTTCGTCCAGTGCTCATCGTGCTGGCATCTGCAATGAAGACACAGATCTGAAACATTCGGTTCCAATATAACAATGAATATGTTCAAATACGTTACAATATGCATCGTATAATACTATTTGCCAAATTGGTTAGATAAGTCACTCTTTCTCCAGACAGCTAACCCTCTAAATCCCAAAACCTACTGGTGGGTTTGAAGGCATGTTATTATTATTATTGTTTTTAAATCACAGAAAATGTTCCATTTACCAGAGCCAGAAACTGGCTGGTAAACAGAGAGAGTCATCAGATATTAAACTTTCCGACAGTCCTTGAACTACTCATCTGTGACATGCCTTCAGTGGAGAAATTTAAACAAATAAACTCAGTCAGTCTGATCAAAATGACTGTATCTTGCATGCTTCATTGAAACATTCACTACAAATAAATAGCTTTGTTAACAACAAAACATTCTGCACTCCTCATGCTATTAAGAAGTCATTAG